CTGACTGTTAATGAGTGGCTCGCTGGTGGAGGTCTGCTGTGGTTGTTCTCCCTGATTGCAACTCTGGCCTCAGACGTAGACAGAAAGACCTGGCAGCAGATCGTCTGTCCTCGCCGTAAAGAGAGAGTGTTGACGAGTGTGGTTGGCGAGTTTTAATATTATTAGGGACGGCACAGTGAACATGTGAGTCCCTATTGTTCTGTAGTTATTATTATTATTTGCTGCCCGTAAAATGGTATTTTTGAGTATATCATTTCAAAACTCAGAGAGCCACGTGTCGGTGGCCGGTCATGCGATTTCTATGTGTCAAATTGGTGGCCAATAGGTGGCGCTATACAGAAATAGTGGTTAGGCTAATAACTCCGCATTTTTGGCGCACATTCAAAAACCTTATATCACGCTTCAGTGAAGTAGCTGCACCATCCCATATAGGCCACGCCCATTTGCCTAGATTGTTTTTTCCTAGAGCGCGAAATTCAAAAACTACGTTTTATGTTTCTCCTACGCGCTTTGTTCCGATTTGACTTTCAACGTAGAACCTGGGGACGCCTGGCAAAAAATAATTGAAGTATTTATATTTCAAAAAATTAAAAAGTTATAAACTTAGCCTCCTTCACAATCTCATCAAAAAAGGAAAGTGGACATTTCTCCACATTGGTAGAGACCTACGGGTTGCCGTCAGAGATCTCCAGCAAAACAGGGACAAAATACAAAGCACACCACAGACGAAACAATCAACAACAACAATACGGCCAGGGCCGTAACAGTTATATACACCAAGAATGACAGCTGTAGTGTTTTTAAAAAACAATCTCATGTGAGTCAACCAAAACTGTTGAATGATTATTTTGTGTCTATCACTCAGAGTAAAAGTGGTGGTAAAAATATATATCTTGAGGGCCTTTAAGATCATTAGGCCAGTCCTATTCAGGCCTGTAATAGCATTGGTTCAAGGTGTCTCCAGCAGATCTGTTACAGAAAAAAATAAAGTGAAAATAAATGGAAATGTTTTGCTCTTTTTGCAGCGGCCGTGGTCAGGAGGCTGTGGAGTCTCTGGCCTCAGAAGGACTGAAGGCCATGTTTCATCAGCTGGACATCAACGACCTGAACAGCATCACTACCGCTGCTGCTTACTTTAAAGAGAAGTATGGAGGGGTGGACGTCCTCGTCAATAATGCTGGCATAGCATTTAAAAGTAGGATTGCAAAGATATATATATATATCAATACTTATTACACCGCACTCGAAATAAAACTACCACTCTACATATTGAACACTGCCACGAAGTTAGCACCAGCATCAGTCTTCTGTCTTATTATAGTATTGGCATTCATATCATACAGTAGTACAATGTGACCCATAGTCATTACTATTATAATAGTTATATATAATTGCACAAGTTTGGCTAAAATTACAATGTCTAACATTGAGATCTTAATTTGTTACAATCATTATTCATGAAATGACTCCCTCTTAGAGAACAATACTCTACATACATTTGTGTGTCTGTGTGTGTGAATTTTTAATCTGATAGAAAACTGCATGTACTTCCACAGGATACTATGCTCAATAATAAAAAGTAATGTAAAGCACATGTTGCACCCAAAGAGTGCGGTGAATTACGCATGACATTTTTGAGTTTGTGAATATATTATTTGTGCCATTTTCATCCCTGATAGACAGATTCACAATACAGACAATAAATTACATAATGAGAAAAATCTAAATAATCTCTCTCATCTCCTCTCTCTCTCTCTCTCTCTCTCTCTCTTCTCTCTCTCTCTCTCTCTCCTCTCTTCTCTCTCTCTCTTCTCTCTCTCTCTCTCCTCTCTCTCCTCTCTCCTCTCTCTCTCTTTCTCCCTCTCCCTCTCTCTCTCAGTGGCAGACACCACCACATTTGACATACAGGCAGAGGTGACCCTCAAGACAAACTTCTTCGCCACCAGAGACATGTTGACTCACTTCCTGCCGATCGTCAGAGCCGGAGGTAAGGACACAGAACTGGACCAGGTCTATGTCTACACCTGTTGTCTTAATAAGCAGCTCACTTCTACCTACTTTACTGTTTTTAAAGAAAGTAGAAACTTTAGTACTTGGTGTCCCAATTTGAAGAGTTTGGTCTTGATTCAGAGAAATGTAAGTTTTGAAAAGATGAATGGCGTTGCTGGCAAGCATAATTTGGTTCATTTTACTGTCAGATATTTCAGAAGCTCCTGATCTCACCACAGTCGGCACATAAACATTATTATAAAAACATTATAAATCATTCGAATATTACACACAAACCCACAACCAACTCACACAAGGAAACTTTTGTGACATTTCTAAAATGTGACAAATCAGTTTGACATGCGGTGAGAGAGAGGGAGACACACAAAGAGGTTTGTAAGCAGCTGTAAACATCCTCCGGGTGTGTATTTTAGGTCGCGTGGTGAACGTCTCCAGCTTCGTCGGCTCCCGCACTCTGAACCAGTGCAGCCCGGAACTGCAGCAGCGTTTCCGCAGCGAGGACATCACGGAGGAGGAGCTGGTGGGACTGATGCAGCAATTCGTCGACAAGGCCAAGAAGGGCGAGCACAAGCACGGCGGCTGGCCTGAAACAGCGTATGGAGTGTCCAAAACTGGACTGACGGTACGACCCATCAGTCTGTTTTTAGGGTTAGGGTCATCTTATCTGTGGAGGTCAAGAACCAGTTTGCAGGTTTTAAAATGTAGAAAAAGCTGAAGAAATTTGGTGAGATGTATTGATTTATATGTTTCTCGACATTGATTATACATATGTGTGTCTGTGTGTGTGTGTCATTAGACCCTGTCCATGATCCTGGCTCGTCGCCTGTCCAAGGAGAGACGGAATGACGGGGTATAATGCAACTTTTAATCAAACAACAACAATCTTCTTTAATCTGCTTCTTTTTAACCACTTTGTTCAGTATAGTAGTTGTTAAAATATCATTTTAGTCATATCTTGCTCTACACTGCAGCTGCACTGTCATTTTTATTCTACCATTTTATTCTATTTTAGCTTATTTTAATCTGTTTTACTTAGATTTAATCTTTTTAAATCCAATTGATTTGTCTTTTCATATTGGCTGGTTGTTGAAAGATGCTATAGAAATACATTTGCATTGCCTAAAATAAATTCAACATCAACACAGGGAGGTTGGACAGTGTCACCAGAAACAAAAAAAATTGGATTTTATTAAATCAATAAATCCTAAATATCTGTTTGTCAGTTTTGTTTTTTTCCAGCCTCACTGCTAACACACATTTTTATTGCATGAAATATTTTTTCTACAGATCTTGCTGAATGCCTGCTGTCCCGGCTGGGTGCGCACCGACATGGCAGGGGACAAAGCCCCAAAGTCACCAGACGAGGGCGCTATCACCCCGGTCTACCTGGCACTGCTGCCGGCCGGAGCCACAGATCCTCATGGGAAATTTGTCTCCGATAAAGAAGTTCAGCCATGGTGAAAGGGTTAAAATGACCCGTGTGTGTGTGAGTGAATCAATGAAAGAGTAAATTGCCAAAAATGTAAAAAAAGTCCTTCAAAATAGAATTTCTTTCCAAAAAAGAAACATGTTTGATTAAACATTTAAAAAAACAATCTCGGAAAACTATTGCAAGCATTAACGTAACACAGTAACATTAACCCTACACATAATGACTTTATACTTTATAAGCTCATGCCTGGACTTTCTTAGGCTTTTTAACTGTTTTAGTTTAGCAGTTAAACCAAATGCTGATAGAGATAACATCAAAATTACTGACATGATTCCAGGGAACATTGACGTGTGTGTGTGTGTGTGTGTGTGTGTGTGTGTCTGCTTGTCATGCGCAGCAATAATCATGCATGAAACTACCGAAGTGCTGGCTTATTGCTGGTGGGTTGTTTTGATAAAACACCACTTTCACTTTGCCTTCAGTGGTTAAAAGTTTTTGTTTTAATATTTTTTACATGGAAAAAGAAAAACTTGCCTTAACTGGATGAAACGTAATTGTTGTGTAATCAAAGAAAATAAAAAGCTTTTCTACAATACTCTGCTTGTGAAACTGAACAATAAATGAATGAATCCCAAATTCTTTGTCAAAATGTTAATTAACAAGGACAAAATTTGAGCGTGACAATTCATATCTGAATATACATCACAACTTTTTTAAATGATTACATTGTGACTCACATATAGAAGCACAGATATATTGGACTAGCTACAGGGAGATTGAGCACAGCTGGGATATGACACTGACAAACAATCAGAGCAAAGACAAATACAAAGCAATTTCCACACTCTGGATAACTCCTTTAGACAGAACCAACCATTTCCTCTGGCACACTTGGATGAAGACCTTTGTGCTTCCCCAAGTGTAAATTACAAAAGGCTTTAACCTTTAACAGCACCTTTAGATTAAATATCTGGTTATGTGTCTGAAAACGTGTGGTTAAAATCCTTTGGGAGCTTATTATAGCCTTTATCATTGTAATGTGAAGAATGTGGGCATAAGAAAGGTCTGAATAAAACCTGGTGAGAACAAAGTGAAGGACAGATTCATAGAAATGCAGTGACACCTGGTGGTCAAGGTGGGAATTTCATAGGAAAATATATTCAATTACTTTTATATTGAAAGAGAAAAGCACAAAATGTGGTTGTTATATGTGCACTGTGAATGATCAGATGTGTTCGGTTTCCATAAGTACAATACAGATATAAAGGTCAAATCAAATGTAAGTTGCCTTTGATCAGTATAACATTTAACAATGTAGCATGCACCTAATAATTGTATTTATGGGGAGAGATGTAACAACGTGCACACACAGTCTACAATAAAGACAGCCTCACTGAAGAAATATTAACAGAGCTGACATATGACGCAAAAAATTGTTATTTATGAGCAACGTGTGTTAGTGGTTTATTGAGGCTGATATAACTGCACAGTAAACCCAGGCTGCTGCTTCCTCTCCCCCTCCTCCTCCACCTACCCTCAGTGTCTGGGTCACAGGGTTTTAGATGTAAATTTGGGTTAAACTCCAGAAACTCCTGAGAGGTTTGTTAAAAAGCTTCCTAAATCAAGTCACTGTTTTGATTCTAGAGATGAAATTTAGTAAAAAGTTTTGAAATGTGTCCAAAACTGAGGACTGCACAAACAACATGTCCTAACTGTGTGATCAATTATATTTCTGTGTTGATTCCTTTCAGGATTGTATCTGTACATACATTTTTGGTGGAGTTCTAGTCTCATAGCAAAACCTCAACCTAAGACATTTAGGAATAGCCAACCACCAAAGTCATGTCATCATGAATTTAATTGTTTAACAATATTTTCAAAAAAAAGGGAAGCTGCCTTACAATATCCAACGTGTGTGTAATTTCTGAAGGTAAACTCCTGCAACCCTCCAAATAAATATTGCCAAGGACATGACCTTCAGCTACGGCCCTGCTTTCCAGGCTGTTACTTCTTTACAAGCTCAAATTATTATTGAAGGAGGAAAACAAAATATCACTTTTTCCAATTTCACTGCAGCCAAAATATAACTTTGACTTTCCCCTGAGGTGTTTTGTATCATTATCCATCACCAAAATGTGTTAGATATATGTGTACACCTGGATTTTCATATCTTTCTCCACTTCCTGAATGAAATCCAGATGCCTAAAGCTCTTGTTTAAAGCCAAGTGCAAAGAAGGTCAGAGCAGAAAATCTCATTCAGGTGGTTTCATATTGTTTCTCGAGTGATAAGAGCATTATTTGTACAAAAGTGTTCCAGCTGAAATACATTTTTTTTCTGCTTTATCTCTCTCTGTCTGTTTTAAGTCTTTTGAGTCAATACAGCAGTGGACTGTATGAGGCTGTGTGGTGTTGATATATGCTGTGTGTGACTGTGGGAGTTGTAGTCAGATGTCAGATGAGCTAAAGCCCTGATTACCTTGTAGATAAAACTAATCCACGGAGCGAGAGAGACAGAGAGATGGCCAGAGACAAAGGGAGATGATAATCCTTTGATCCCTGCTGTCTGCCAAGGGAAACCCCATCGCACACATGACCATGATTATCGCTGGTTGTAATTACTGCATGAGCATTATAATTACTTTATTGATCCTGCAATGGGGAATTCCCTCAGAGCTGAATAACAAAAAGTGATACAATATACATTAGTTATCAATACCAGCACTGCTCACATGAAGCATGTAATAAGGTTTTACAGAAGCAGTTTTTCTGACAAACTAATTTATCTGAACCCAAGCAACCACTACATATATGACATCATTGATTTTGCAATTTGTAGGACAAGAATAACCCTTGATCATGGACTTCATGGGTATTTTATTCAAATTAGAGTGACAAAGGCTATAAAGTGGCAGCACAAAACTCTTCTGCTGCCATATGAGCAGTGGTATTACAAGATATGTAGACTAAGCCAGGACCAATCAAATCAATGAGTCCTATCAATAAAATAAACTTCCTTCTGGCCACCCTGACCAGTGCTGTATACTCCAGTCAAGTTTTCTGTTGTCTTGGACTTGTCTTGGACTAGCTGGTATTTGCACTCAGACTTGTCTTGGACTTAGCCATTGGTCTTGACCAAGTGCAGCAATATATGTTGTTTTTTTCTAACTTTCTCCTTTAAAATAAAATCATTGATGAAGCAAATGTTTTTTTGTCTAGACCACCCATCCCTTTGTCCTGGCTGGGATCCATTTCACATACTCTTTCCATGTTTTCATGTCTTTGTGCAGCACTCCTCTGCAAGAAGTTTAGACTGAAGGACGTAAATGTCCAAGTGTTCCAAGTGCATACTGTACAGCCGTTCTAACCAAGTCTGAAACACGATACGGATGGAAAAAGTGCTTAAAAATGGCACCTTGCAGACTAAAATAATACAGCACCATGTTCTGATGGACATTCTGGTACAGCTGGTGTTCTCATCTGACTCCCACATCCACCTGCTCATCTGTACACATTCCCAATTTATCCCTGTGCTGACACACCTGCTCCTCATTATCTCATCAATCCTTCAGTGCATATGTACATATGTATATATATATATATATATATATATATATATATGCTCAGTGTATACAATCAGCTCACCAGGCCGTTCCCCTTGCTAGTTCTTCACGTTAAGCACTTGCGTTCCAAGGGTTAGGGTTAGGGTAAGCCTGTTAATTTCAACATTGATTCAGCAAGCAAGTCTTTTTCTTCAACCTGTTCTGCTTATAGCCTTGACACACATATGTGATATGAACAAGGCTTGATTTGTGAGGATGGAAGCTTTATCATATCAGCTTTAAGCAACACTCACTGGCTGATATTTGATATTTAATAAAAGGTCAGTATCATCAAACAATATACTGGTCTAAGTCACAGCCTCCTGTGACACAAATGAAAACCTTCTGTTGATGCAGTACTGTACCTCCTGTGTTGCAGTAAGATTTCAAGACCCGGTTAGGTACCACTACTAAGTCAGCCTTTTTAAAGGGTTTATAAGCATGAATTAATGGATTTCTCAATGTGCTAATGCTTTATAGCACCTCCAGAATCACACTTGATGTGTTTTTTTTTTTCTTGATGAGACCACTCCAATGAACTTTCTAGAAAAGGGCTGCACGGTATCTGGACCAAAATGCATAGGCATTTGGAGGCATTTGAAATGAATGGAAGAAATCGTTGTTATTTTTGTATAATTCATAAAAAATTTAAGGTAACTTGTTTTAGTATGAATGAAATTGCTAGTAGTGTGGGGAGGTACGGCACATGGTTTCGCTCGGGGGACTGCTCGGATTGGTGAGATTCATGGGAAACTTCAATGATCGGTCAAATCTTGCAAGGTTTCAGAATTCACAGGGATTGGTTGAATTTGCGTCAATTGTTGCAGTCGCAACATTGTAACTTCCTGGAGGGACTTATTACTATAAGAGTCCTTTATTAATGATTAATTAGCATTAATAATTGTGGTTGACTAATTAAATTTTGCTTATGGTTTATTAAAAAGTCAATAACCCTTTATAATGTTAGAAAGTCATTAATAAATGGCCTTGAGTTTATCACTTTCTAACAAGACATCAAGTCTGCAGATATAAATGCTAGTAAGTCATTAATTAGGGGTCATGAGTTTCTCAAATGAATTAATGCCTATAAACTGCTAATGCATGGTGACCTATCAGAAAGCACCCTATGGAGGCATGAACTCGGCATGACTCTCATTCACTGACTACAGATTACATCCAATTATTGCACTGACTTTTCTGATAAGCCTTTTGCAGCCTGCTGTTGTCTTCTTTTGATCAGTTCTCTTGGCAGCATGTGGGGACACAGTCATGGACGCTAATCCCACGAATCACAAGAATCATGTCACAAATTTTAAGACTTAAGCTTCTTAACATTCTCGTTTTTCTGTTCATTGATATGTTTGTTCCTCGCAGCCTGGAATTTGGCATGGAATAAACCCACCTAAACTCAGTTCATGTTTAGAGTTTTAAAACCTTCTCTTTTTTGATTAATGTTATATGAATATTAGGTCCTCTAAAAAGGCAAAAAAGCAAAAAATATTGTTTGTGTTATGATTACTTCTGACTGGATGTCATGACTGCAGGTTTAATTTTCCAGTACATAACTGTTTATCAAACCTTTTTTGTGTCTTTTATCATGTTTCTCGCTGTGGAACAGGAGATGCTGTAATCCAGATTTATGGAGGAAGGATACTTAAAGGTTTATTAATTCCCACCTGTAACAGACCTCTTCAATAGTGGGGAACCTTTCCTTTTGGACTGACCTCTATCTGATGTTTTGAAATACATTTGGCAAAAGCAAAACTGTCTTCAACAATTTGGAGGTGGAAGTATTGATTTAATTTCCAAAAATCGAAGTAGTACAATAATTGTGACATTTTAAAGGGGCAGTAAGTAAGATTTTTAACCACGGTGTGTCTGCTGGATGAGTTGGTTTTTGATCAATACCAACAACTCAAGAGTTCTTGGGATATACAGTAGGATGAAAAACATGACTCTACACACATAAGAAAAATGCAAAAGTTATAACTGACAAAGGACAGTTGCGAGGGAAATGTGCTCACTTGCTTTGTGGTTGAA